GGAAGGGAAGGTGGAGCTCTTCTCACTGTAGGTCTGGTGACACCCTGTCAGGAGGGCCCTCTTTGCATCCCACTCCCCCACTCATGTCACCTGTGCCAAGTGTTCATCCCTGCACTCCTCAGTGAACACATGGAGGGCCACCTCTTTCTGCTCTCTCAGAATTCTAAGAACATCTCTAGGAGCAGTAAGATCTGGGAATCTGGACCTACCAGAATCCAAATCCTCTCTCTCTGTCTCTGTCCTGGTCCTAAGACCAGGTCTGGTCACACAAGAAGCCTCAAGAAGGCATGACTGAGCTCATACTCATGATGAGGGGCCCGTCATGCTCAGAGGCTCAAAGTGAGAAGAGTGGCCCTGACTCCAGCCCCACAGATGAGGGTGCCTCTGGTGGGTCTCTGTTGTCAGCTTGAGTTTGGAAAGTCACTGGACTTGTGTGCAGCTGTGAGCTCATTCTCAGGGTTGCCAGGACCCTGTACTCTCACCCTCTCACTTCTCTACATTTTCTCCAGACAGAAAAGCCCTCCCATCTTTATGGATCTATTGAATCTCCCTCTCCTTACCCCACCTCCACTTCCTCTGACCTTGCCTGGCTTGCTCTGCCCTTCATGACAACATTCTCCCTGCTGTGGTCCACTGATGTCACAGAATTCTTTTCCCATTCTGAATGTTTACTCTTCATGTAGAATAAACTGAAACTTAGAATTTATTTGAGTCACCTGTCAGCTCCAAAAAGAACATATCTACCAGACTTCTGATTCTTCAGTTCTTCATTTGAGTTGAATTGGGACTGGGCATAGTGCCAGGCACAGAAACAACTGACAGATCATGATTCCTCTTGTGAAGAGCTCTGTGACAGTACAACGAAGGGGTTAAAGGAAAAAGAACATATCAACCCACTGTTGTGAGGAAAAGAAAGAAGGGCAAGGGTCTGATGTAGGTGTTCTGGAGTCAGCCATGAGGGGCATAGAACCCAGTGGCCTCTGAGAAATGCACTGTTTCTCTGTAGCTAGGGCTCCTCTTCCCTAGGAGGAAGAGGGCCTCACATCTTCCCTAGGATGTGTGGGTGTCCAAGGGGAACTGAGAGGAGTGTGGGTGCCCCTTTGTCCTGTTGGACAGAATGCCATCAGCTTCATTCCCCAGCTTTACCTCTGCATGAGGCAGGTCAAACCTTTGCCTCCAGGGGGCGCCCCATCCTCCATGCCAGACCTGAGAGCTCCCAGTAGAAGGGTTGGTGCTGTCCCTGGTCCTGGAACACAGCTGGATTTCCTCTGCCACAGACCCCAGTTCACAGTCACAAGGGCCTGAGCCTTAGGAAAGCAGGGCCCCTAGGCTGGAGGGGCTTCAGAAAGGCGGGGTTCTTCTTGGGAAGGAGGAGTCAGGAGAAGGCGTGGCAGTGGGCTGGGTTCATGTCTGTGCTCTTCCTCTCATCCCTCTGATTTCTCATCACGATGTTTAATGTTATTCTTCCTTGAAATTTTTCCACAAAAGGCAATCATGGGAACAAAAATATCTCAGGTTTGAAATATTTTTCCATGTATTGGTTGTGCAAAAAATATATATAGTTCATGTCGCATAACCTTATATATTTATTATAGCTTATATTATATAAATGTCTTATAAATACTATAATGAATATATAACTAATTATGAGAATGAGTAATACATTGTACTTTTTCATATTGTATTTTATATATTATAGTACAATATCATACATTTATAAATATGGAAATATATAATATGGTCTAAATAGTTCCTTATTAAAATAGTCTACACTATATAAACATATAAATTACACTATGGGATCATATCTCAAGTCAAGAATAAAACAAGAATGCTCCCCAGGAGCCTCAGAATTTCTTTTCCTTCCCCTTTCTCTCCAAGCCACTTTCATTTCCAGGTCATGAAGGCCACAGAACCAAAGCTACATCATCAGTGTAGGTAAATGCCATTGGGAACTTTGGTATCTTGGCTTAAATATTCTGTCTCTTTTTCTGGACTCAAGTATTCCCCAAAATACTAGCCTAACAAGTGCCCGTTTTCATTTATTTTCAATTATTCTATACTTTTAAAATGAGGGATTTTATTTCTTCTATTTACTTTTTTCCCGACCAATTTTGTTATTTTCAGCACAAGTCCTGAGGAGAATGATTTAACCAGTTATTACCAAAACAAGAGTCACAATTCAACTTCTTGCCATATTGAAATTGGAGTTCCTGTAGTGGGTGTGGGGAACCAAAATCCTCCTAGTTCCAAACTATAATCGTCCCCTTCTTTCCTTCAGGGCCACTTTCTAAAATTGAGGAAATAAATCACCTACATGCAGGTGCTTGTTTTGTGTCACTGGGGCACTCACCTGGGCCCATTCTACCTGTGGACACCCCACAGACATTTCCCCCTTGCAGCCAATGTTGTGGCTGGACCAGGCCTTATGGTTCTTGTTATGATTAGAGGACACACTTCAGCAACAACCATTAGGGAACTTTGGAAAATAAACAGCTTTATTACAGTCATCTCCTATTATCCACAGTTGTGCTTTGCATGGTTTCTGTCATCTCTGTTCAAACACAGTCCAAAAATACTAAATGGAAGATTCCAGAAATAATCCATTCTTGTTTTAAATTTTGCATTTTTCTAAGAAGTATGATGAATCATGTACTCCCTCTGTGTGTGCTGCCTGGGTGTGAACTATCTCTTTGTCCAGCATCTCCACACTGTATATACTGCCCACTTGTGAGTCACTTAGTAGCTTATTAGATCTTCAGGTCTACTGTCCCAGTATCTGGTGACTTGTGTTCAGGTCACTCTTGTAGTAGCCTCATACTATGTACGTCACAATGCCTGTGGCATTCACCTCCCTACACCTCATCACATAGGCATTGTGACACCTTACAACAGCACAGGAAGTGATGCAGACCCTGGCCAGCAGGGTCCATGTGTTGTGGCTGCAATAAACAAATTCACACAGACTAAGGAATTCCTGTAGAGGAAAAGGAGATGGCATGGCCACTCTCTGAGTGAGAGAGGACCTCAACCCTTGCCTAGACAAGCTTTTAAGTGCTTTTATGGGCACATTACATCAAGGGTGGTCCTCAGTTACTATGCACAGATTTGCTTTAGGTGGTTACCTTTTACAGAAAACAAAGGAGAGGATGTTGCTAATTACATCAAAGAAGAAGGATATTTGCAAATGCAAAGGGAAAAGTGGTTGAACTGGTTACACTCATTCTTGGGAGCTTTAGCATAGATTTTAGGAAGTTACTTTAAAGATACACAGAAAACATTTGCTGCCTCAGTTCAGGGTGAGGAAGTTTTAGCAAAAGCAAGCTTCAAAGCAGCCTAGGAACAATGCAGGCCTGATTCCCCAAGGGGAACCTATCTGTGAGTGTGGGTCCTTTGTGCGGGATCTTGCTCCCCACTGGCCTTTCTGAGTGGGGGCTGGGCTATATTCCTCATGCCTCATGGAATGGTGTCCTATAAGAAGAAGGGTGAGTTCATTAATAGAAGATATTTTTATAAGATTTATTTATTTATTTTTAGAAAGGACAAGGAGGGAGAAAGAGGAAGGGAAACATCAATGTGTGGTTGCCTCTCACACGCTCCCCACTGGGGACCTGGCCCACAACCCAGGCATGTGCCCTGACTGGGAACTGAACCATCAACCCTTTGGTTCACAGGCCATCACTCAATCCACTGAGCCACACCAGCCAGGGCAATAGAAGACATTTCGAGAGAGGGAGAGATCACATTCACATAACCTTTATCACAGTATATTGTTATAATTCTTCTGCTTTACCATTAGTTATTGTTAATATCTTTTTGTGCCTAATTTATATATTAAACTTCATCATAGGTGTGTATAGGAAAAGTCATAATATATATAGGACTCGGTACTATCTGCTGTTTCAAAAATCCACTGGAGATCTTGAAACATCTCGCCCACAGCTAAGGGACACTGCAGACTTCACAATCATAGAGCTTATTGTTAGGGATCTACACTGTGGTACCACTCCTGACTCTGGTTGTTTTTGTTTTAGAACTTTGTCTTCAAAAAATTAAATTAAATCAACTATATAGAGGAGGGAGACTATGAGCTCTTTCTTCATCCCATACTTTTAACCTAAGTCTGTCCAAGAATTGGGTTTGAAGGACAGGTGGGGTACAACAGATGAAAGCAAGGGGGCATGGCCTCCAGAAGGGGATTTCAGATTGCTAAAACTTTTGTAGGAAATGCCATAGAAGATTTCAGGGACAAAGGCCATGGGGAGAAGGTGGGTGAGGAAGTAAATGCCAGGGGAAGAGGCCTGGGATGTAATGACTAAGACCAGGGAGTCAGGCAGGGGTATGTGTAGGACAGAGGCAGGGTCAGCTCTCTGGCCTGGCCAGTTTTACAGCAGAGGACAAACCCAGCCAGGAATCGGGAGACCTGTGGGACTCACTGTCACACCCTACATGGTGCTGGTAGCCCTACTGGAAATACTTTAAGTTCACAGCAGAGCTCTATGATGGTAACAGACCCTTCCCTTGAACTTCCTCTCTCGCTCTGTGTAAAGAGCTTCCTGGCAGCTGCTTCCTGTGTGGATTGTGCACATGGCTCACTGTGGCTGCGCCACCTGCATCTCAATCCTTCCTTTGTCTCTGAAAAAAAATCATTTTTGGTAACAGGATGCCTAGTCAGCTCCTGCTTACTGCCAACAGGCAGTTGAAAAGATCACTGTGGGGCTGTACATGGGATGGAGAAGGGACTGGCGCTCAGGAGGTGCTGGAGAATGGACAGGTGCAAGTGAGGAGAGATGACCCCAGAGAAACTATGATACCTCGTCATGAACCAAACACAAAGTGGACAGGGATATCTTTCCCTGTACAGGCTTTGATGAGTTCTGGGATGGAAAATGAGAGCAACAAGTTGTCACCCTGTCTTCTATGGCTGGTCACCCCTGGCTTCAGGAGAACTTGCCACCAGGACCTTTCTGTTCAAAAAAGAGACAGGCAAGCCCTGGACCTCTGTTGCTAGTGATTTCTTTAATGCTCACAGCTGCCTTTCAGTAGCATGTATGATCTCTACTGTACAGAATGGGAAACTGAGGACAGAGGAATGAAGTGAATCACTTGAAGGCAATGCCTTAGGAAGTGCTGAAGTCTGCACCTGAGCCCAAGTCTCTCCAATTCCATCACCTTTCTTCTTCCTGCTCTGCCTGCAGATGCTCTTACAGTGATTCATGCTAATGTTGCATGAGGTCTCCTCAGGTTTCATCAATTAGTCCCCAACTTCTTTCCCCTAGAGAGGCTGTGATGCCTCTAGTTAGGACGGAGCTCTCAGCAAGTCCTCACTGGCATCTCTTCTTGATCTCTGAGTACTGGCAGATGGTGGTGGCCTTCTTGTTCTGAGGCCCCTGCAGCTTCCTCCCATGAAAGGTGAGGTTGGCATACTGGATATCCTGTTCCTCTCTCAATGGAGAGGCATCCCTGGTGGGTGACGCTAGGTCTGGAGGCCCGTCTGGCCCAAGGTTTAGCTGGGAACCCTGAGTGAAGGGGAGAGAAGAGAGTCAGAGAAGAAAAAATCAGACGTGGTCTCAAGGAGAACTTGGGCTGATGGAACAGTTTTTCATTCATCCTCTTATTCCACACACACTGCTCATGAACTCAACTATTTGCTTGTTCATTTAAAAATTGGTAATACTACAACTGATTAGACCATATCAAGGGCTTACTAATCACATTTAATCCTCACAGATAAAAGTATAAATGCACCCCAGCTGGCATAGCTCAGCAGATTGAGCACGGGTTGTGATCCAAAGGGTTGCTGGTTGAATTCCCAGTCAGGGCACATGCTTGGGTTGCAGACCAGGTCCCCAGTGGGAGCCACGTGAGAGGCAACCACACATTGATATTTATCTCCCTCTCTTTCTCCCTCCCTTCCCTTCTCTCTAAAAATAAATAAATAAAATCTTTTTTAAAAAGAGTATAAATGCTAGTCTTATCAGCCCTGGCAGGTGTGCCTCAGTAGATTGAGTGCCAGCCTGCAAACCACAGTGTCACCTGTTTGATTCCCAGTCAGGGCTCATGCCTGGATGCAGGCCAGGTCCCTAGTAGGGGACATGCAAGAGGCAACCATATACTGATGTTTCTCTCTCTCTCCTTCTTCCTCCCTTCCCCTCTGTCTAAAAATAAATAAATAAAATGTCTTCTAAAAAAATGATACTCTTATCATCTCCATTTATCAATAGGAAAAAACTGAGATGAGTAGAGGTGAATTAACATGCCCAGAATTGGTAGAAAGTAATGGTTTGGGAGAGAAGGCTCTGTCAGGCTGCATCTGGCAGAGAGGTGAGGTGGGCTGAGTGGTCAGCAGATCTGGGACAGGAGGCTGACCCTGGGCTCTGGGAGATGAAGGGGAAGCCCACCTCCAGCTGTCTGTCCAGCTGAGAACAGAGGAGTGAGTTTGTAATGCTGGGAAGCTCAGCTCACACTCATTGAAGGGACATGCCCCGCCCCTCCCCCTACACTGCATGAGAAGATACTCACATCACACACCCAGGTGACTATTCCCATGACAGGGTCTTCATCATTCATGACTCTTTGCCTCCCATCTGTTTGCTTCCTGTGGAATTTCACTCTAAAGGAAGGTGTTAGGAGCCACAGTGACTCAGGCACAGGTGGGCAGGCTGCCCCCCCAATCCCTGATAAGACAACTGATGCAATAAGACCCTGGGTCCAGACTCAGAGATCCTCCTGACATATAAATGAGTGCTCCGTCCCCTGGATGACCAGGTGTTTGGCCGATACTAAACTTGCATCGCGATAGGCCCCTACACAGGGGGAAACTTATGCAGGAGCAATCATAACAGAGCTATTCCTGAGAGCCCCAATGTAAAAACAACCCGACCGTCCATCAACGAGGAGACAAGTAAAATGTACCCCATCCCTACAATGGAATAGTATTTGGAACAAAAAGGAATTAAAAAATGACACATGAACCTTGAAATTATTGTGCTATGTGGAAAAAAAGGTCAGTCCCCATGCACCATGGATTGTGGGATCCCTTTTATATGAAATGTCCAGAAAGGGGAAATCTAAAGAAACTAGACATAGATTAGTGGTTGCCTCGTGGCTGGGCTGATGGTGGTGATAAAATGATGAATAGGGATGTTTTGTTTTGTTTTTGTTTTGTGCTAATGAAAAGTTTTAAAATTCATTATGCTGATGGGTGCACAACTCCATGACTGAAGTAGAAGCCATTGAATTTTACTTTAACTGTATGCAAATTTTATCTCAATAAAGCTGCTATCCTATCCACTCCCCCCCAAAAAAAACGACCCCTCTGTATGGATTCAGCTCTGCCTTTCTGGGATTCAGGGGCCTCTCTCTGTGCTCCCCATGACACAGCTCCCTGTACCTCCCCAGGATATGGGCTTACATGTAAAAGAAGATGAGACACAAGCACAGGGATACTAGGGCCATGGCACCAGCACCTCCAAGAGCTGCAGGAACTACTCTGGAAGCAGATACCGACTTCTCTGCAGAGAAGAGAGCTGTGAGCCCACCCACTCCCAGGACTCAGTGTCTGGTCTTCCCAAACCTTGCACAACTGGCAGTAGGTTCCCGTTCAGACACCAGACAGAAGATCCCATCCTAACAACACCCTTCCCAGCCATAACCCCTCTCCCCACCTCCATCCTCCCCTTGATCCCTTCCTTTCTCCCTCAGCCTCCACCCGCAGAAGGCCCCTGACCTGCCAGGAGCAGCAGGACACTGGCGCTCTGGGCCCCGTGGACGTTCTTCACCTCACAGCTGAGCCTGAGGCCTGTGTTGAGCCCCGCACAGAGGCTCAGGGAGCTGTTGGCCCAGGGCCCCGCAGAGTAGGAGGTGATGGTGTAGGAGGCATCGCTGGCGTTCTCCTCCAGCAGCCCCTCCCCCAGCCGCCAGCGCAGCAAGGGGGCCGGCTGGGCTCGGGAGGAGCAGCTGCAGTGCAGACCCTGGTCCTCCCAGGAGCAGGAGGGCCCCAGCAGCTGTGGGGGGTCTGTGGGGAGCCAGGAGAAGGATCAGTGGTGCCTCTGCCCTCCCAGGACCCAGATGCCCTGCCACCAGGGATCCCCACACTCACAGACCACGGAGAGGCTGAGAGAGATATTTTTGGAGCCCAGTGGGTGCTGAGCTTGGCAGGTGAACTGTCCTTCTTCCCCAGTCCCCACACGGGGCAGCTCCAAGATCTCAGTGCTGGAGATGGGGGTGGCGTTCCGGGCTGAGGACCCCTGGAACCAGCTCAACTGTGCAGGGGGGTTGCTGTCAGCCACACAGAGCAGCTGCAGAGCCTCACCCTCCAGGATGGGAAGGGATGAGGTATTTTGCAGAATCTCGAATGCTTTGGGGAGAGAAGTGGAGAGAAAGAGAGAGAGAGAGAGAGAGAGAGAGAGAGAGAGAGAGAGAGAGAGAGAGAGAGAACACAGAAACTGGCACCCACCAACAAGAGGTGAGGGAAGGAGAACGATGATTTCCCTCCTTGCCTCTACCATATCTGGTCTCATTCACACTGTGATTCCCCCTCAGCTCCATGGTGGCCCCATCGCAGGTCTCAACCCCAGAGATGGAAGCTATTTCCTACCTGTGACATTTCTGTAGGACATGCCTATGGTCAGGTTCTGTGGAGCATCTAGAAAAGAAAGATATGGCCCCACTTCAGAGGGGAGGAGCAGAGGGAAGTCACCTTGAACCCAAGGAGGTGGGGTGGTAACAAGGAAGATGAGATTGATGTCCTTCTGGATCTTTCCCCTCCTGCATTCAGAAGTATGCACAAGTGTTCTCAAGTAAGCTCAGCCTCCTCTACACACACACACATACACTACACACAAATCCACAAAAGGCTTGAGTGTGCCAGTCCCTCTGCCCCCAGGACACCAGCTGTCCTTCCAACACTCACAGGACACATTGAGTCGAATGGTTTCCTGTGTGGTCACCTCAGGTCCTGCAAGTGTCACCAGACAGGTGACTGTGGTGCCATGGTCCCTGGGCTTCAGAGTGAAGGTGAGCACAGAGGAGCGAAGGGTCTGGGGATTCAGAGAGTTGAGAGCACTCCCCACCCATGAGTAGATGAGAGGACTTGCCCCTTTGCAGGACCCTGGCAGGCTGCAGCTCAGCTTTGTGGGGTGGCCAGACTCCAGAGGCCCCCGAATGTGGATGTCAGGTTTCTGTGTCAGGTCTGCAGAGGAGAGAGGGAGGTGCCTGGGACCTGGGGCTGCAATAGGGACCCAGAATGTGACCCCACCTGGGACCCATGGCTGAGGGCCTGACCTCACCCCAGGTCCTGTGTCTCTTCTAACACCCTGAGCCCAAGGCTAGGATCAAGTAGTGTCCCAAGGTCCAGTTCCTGTTCTAAGCTGGGTCCCATGTTTCAACATCCTCTCCTGAGCCCCTGCCATACCTGTCACTTGCAAAGTCAGCTTCTTATCTTGGTAAATACATTCCTCATAATATCCAGTCTCCACTTGGAAGACGTAGCTTCCTGTGTCACTCTTCCTGGCATCTCTGATGCTCAGGGAACAGTCGTTGGTCCTGGAGTATGTGAGGAGGAATCGGCCCTCAGTCTGTTTCTTCACTTGTTTATATTGGTTGTTTGTAGCCACAGGATCAGTGTAGTCTGTGTGGTTCTCACTCCGGTACCAGGAGGTGTAGAGTTCATTAAAGGAAAGCCACGAACTCCGCTGGTAGGAAAAGGAGCAGGGCACATGGACACAGAGGCCCTCCTGCACCCTCACAGATTCCTGCACTTGGAGCTCATAGCCTTCCTTCTTCTGCAGGGACTCTGGGGGTGGGTGGGGGGAGACACAGAAGCTCAGCTGCAGCCCCAGCCACTCCCCCCTGCCCATCCCCCTTCCCAGGCCCACTCACCCCCCCACAGCAGGGGCAGCAGCAGCAGGGGCACCATGTCTGCTTCTCAGAGGGCAGAGCTGTCCCAGTCCCTGTGTCAGGGAGGGAAATAGGGAGCTGTGGTGTGGGGCTGAGTAGCCCCAACAGGAAGCTGTGGTTGACAGAGCTGTAACAAGGCCTGGAGGGGAACTTGGACTCCATGGGCTGTGGGGGTGTGTTGAGGGCTGAGAAATCATCCTGTCTTACATCCTCAACCTGACCCTGCAGGTGGTTGTGCCGAGGCCCCCAGTGGTTGAGAGGCTCACCCAGATGTGAATCTTAAAGTGATCACCTTGCACATGATCTTTAAGGGAGAGGGAGGTCATTCAGGGATCATAGAGGTCAAGCTGTTGTGTTGACTCAGGGGACCCATGCTCCAGCTGAAACCATTTCACGTTTTAAAAAAGATAATTTAAAAAAATTTTAGAGGGCTCAAGTGCTAGCAAGAGAGGAAAGAATTTAGACCCAACCACAATGGAGGGTGGAGCCCAGCCAAAACTTGAGCATTAAAGCCCTTTATTCTACAAGTTGTCAGGACATGGGATGCCCATGTGTTCCTCTTCAAGGGTCTGAGGGTCTGTGGGATGGCAATGGCACACAGGCCCCCCTAAAATGGGACATATGCTAGGAGATCTTGCCCCATTTGGTGGGGACCCCAGAGGCTGGCCCTCAGCACAGCAGCAAATTTGCCACAGTAAAGCTCATGAAACTCCTTCCTCAGAGCCCCTTACATGCTCAAACCCTTTTCAAAGCTCCAGCAAAGGCTGGAGTGATATGCAGAAATAATCTGCAATCCTATGCTCTTTTATGATAGAAAAAAACTTAAAACATTTTCCCAAACATGACAATGAGGTGCAATAGGTCAGATATTCCAGGAACAAGTTGTTTGATTAAAACAAAGATTCTTCAACTGTACAGGATAAAAAGAAATCTCAGTCACCTGTACTGAGGAAATACTGAATTCTCTTCTATTCTTTATATTATATAAATATAATATTAATATTTATTATTATATGACAGAATTATTCTCCTCTAAAGAGGCAACAGCCCAGCTGGTGTAGCTCAGTGAATTGAGCACAGGACTGAGAACCAAAGGGTCACTGGTTCGTTTCCCAGTCAGGGCACATGCTTGAGTTGCAGGCCAGGTCCCCAGCAGGGAGTGCATGGGAGGCAACCACCATTGATGTTTCTCTCCCTCTCTTTTCCCTCCCTTCCCCCTCTTTAAAAATAAAAAAAATCTTAAAAAAAAGAGGCAACAAAAGTGTAATCAAAAAAGGTAGAGAACATGTTATGCAGGTGTGCCAGACAAGAATCCATACTACTAATAAAAATAGTCTGTAATTTTTGGAATTGTCCTATATTTTGGTTTTCAGCATTTAGCTGTTCTTGCTTGATGTGATGTGTTTTTTTACTTCTGAAAAGTTGATAGGTGTCACTCATTGCTTCTTTTTCAAAGCAGTGATCTCAACATTAGCATAAATATCAGACTCCACTCAACCTGGGGCTGCCCCTGCCACAGGGAACATGTGACCCAGAGGTAACCAACTCTACCCACACCCACCCCAGACTCCTCATGTACTACAAACAAGACTGTCTTGTTCAAGCAAAGGACTAAAGGAAGCAGAATTTCCTTGGTTGTGCCCCCATAATTCACATCACTGAGAGGTCTAGCAAACTGCAAGTTGGATTATAAAAATGACATGAAATAAGTGTTGGCAAGAATATTCAGAGAAGGGAACCCCCCTGCACTGTTCCTAGAAATGTAAATTGGGGACCACAGTGTAAATCAGTAGGGCAGGTCCTCAATAATTAATAATAGAGCTTCCATAAGATCCAGCAATTCCACTTCCTATTTAGAGGAAATGAAAATACTAACTTAAAAAGACATATATACTTCTACATTCATTGCAGCATCATTTACAGTAGCCAAGATGTGGAAGAAACATCTCGTCCACCAATAAATGATGAAGAAAAAGTGGTACACATACAGTGGGGTGTTATTGGCCATAAAAAAGGAAGAACTCCTGCCATTTGCAACTATTGTACATGGATGGAACATGAGTGCATTTTATTTAGTAAGTGGAAAGAGACAAATACTGCATGACTTCACGATCATGTGGAAACTTTTAAAAAACAATCCATCTCATAGACAGAATAGATGGGTGGTTGCCAGCGGCAGAGGAAGGAGGTTGGGCAAAAATAGGAGAAGGTGGTCAAAGGTACAAACTTCTACTTATAAAACAATTACATCATAAAGATGTATTCTTCAGATGGTGACTGTAGTTAATAATTGTGGGTATTAGTATTATACTATTAACTGTAGTAATGTGCTTAATAATACTGTGCTGGATATTTTAAAATTACTGAGAGTGTACATTGCTAAGAGATAAAATTGTTGAAAGTTCTCATTACAAGAAAAAAAGTGTAGAAACTCTATGTGGTGATGGGTGTTAACAAGACATGTGGTGAGCACTTTGGAATATACACATATATCGAATCATGAAGTTACATGTCAATTATATCTCAAAAATATATATGTACTAAAAACCTCAGGCTGAGTGCTTGGGTTAGAGTAGAAGGTCCAGGTCTTCCAGGCAGAGTTCCACTTCTGCTCCATGTGTGCTCCCACATCGGCATAACAGATTCCTCACATTGAATTCCTGCTGCTGAAATCCATAATGAGGCTTATGTGTTCCTGTTCTGCCCTTGACTGATTAACTCTCAAGAGATAAAACAGTGAACAGTGGGTGATTTCAAATGCCTTCATGATAAAACTCACAGCCAACCAGGAATAAAGGAGAATTTCCCTGATGAGATAGGGGTGTCTTCAGCAGCTTCATACGTAATGCAGTATCATCGGGTTCTAGTCTAGAAAGGGTATATGAAATGCAAAAAGAAGACAAAACTGTCTATCTTCAGAGATGATTTTATATATAGGAAAATCCACAAATATCCATAGATACATTGGGGGGGTTTAATAAGAGAGTTAGCAAGGTTGCTAGAGACAAAATCAAATTACAACAATCAAATGCATTCCTCTATCAGAGTAATAAAAGGTAGGATGTTATCAAGATGCCATTGACAATAGCATCAAAAATTATGATACACCTGGCCATGGCTGGTGTGGCTCAGTGGAGTGAGTGCTGGCCTTGAAACAAGCAGTCGCTGGTTCGATTCCCATTCAGGGCACATGCCTAGATTGTGGGCCAGGTCCCCAGTTGAGAGCATGTGACAGGCAACCACACATTGATGTTTCTCTCTCTCTCCTCTCTCACTCCTTCTTGCTCTGAAAATAAATAAATAAAATTATTTTTAAAAACTAAGATACACCTGAAATATATCTATTCAGATATGTACATAATAGAAATATAAGCTGCACTTTTTCAGTGGACAAGATTATAAATCCCTTTGGAAGGACATTAAAGATGTTAATAAATAAAGAAATATGCATGTTGATGGATATTAAAACAATATTGTGTAAAAGTTCACTCTACCCAAATTAATCTGCAGAATTAAAGCAATGTGTTACCCAATCTCCCAGTAGACTTCTGTAAAACTTGATACCTCTATTGTAAAATTTATATTAAAGTAAATTTTTCCAAAAGCAGTCAAGACAAACATGGAAAAGAACAATGTACGAGGACTGGCTCCTTAGGGCTTCAAGACATAGTAAAAGTGTCACAGAAAATATGATGGTGTGGCATTTACTGACATGCATGGTACCACCAGACCACTGGAACAGAACAGGGCAGCTAGAAATAGCAAAGACCAAAACCACAGGAAATGTCATGTGTGTTAGAGGAGGTGATGCAGAAAAGTGACAAAAAGAGAAACTTCTCCTTAGAATTTTTTTATTTCTGGTCTGGTTTTTTATCTGCTCTTTATTGTATTTTTCCATTATAATTTAGTCTCCTTTTACCCCTCTCCTGCGAGCAATCACCACACTGTTGTCCATGCCCATGAGTCCTTTTTCTGTTTCGTTTTTCCCCGACCGCCTCACCCCTGCGCATTAGCTGTCATCCTGCTTAGAGAGAGAGGAAGGGAAACAGAGAGAGAGAAAGAGAAATATCAGTTTTGTAGTTTCACTTATTGATGCATTAATTGGTTGATTCTTGCATGTGTCCTGCCTGAGGATCAAACCCTGAACCTTGGCTTGTGGGAACAATGCTCTAACCAACAGTGTTACTGTCCAGGGACAATGAACATTTCAATAATACATGTGGGCAACTAGTGATCCAAATGCACTCAAATGAGATTGTATGCTTAGCTCTTACAATGCATGAACATCAAGGGCAGATGAGTTGAGGATCTGCTGTTTTAGGAGAAACAAGACAATGGAGAGGATGGAAGATAATATAGCAGAATGTCTCCATAAACTTAAGGGAAAGAAGGTTTCATAACAAGATATAAATAGAAATATTTATAAAAAGAAACATTGAAAAGTTGGACAAGGCTACAATTAAGGACTCTTCATAGATACACTAAATCATCAGCCATCAAGTGAGAAATGAGTTTTACAACACATGTAAACATCAAAGTATCAGTCTTCAGAATAAGGAGGTATTTCTAAAAGTACATAAAAAAAAAGAAAACACAGGAAAATGGGCTCACTTGAGCTGCCCCTCTGAAAAGATAGCAAACAACCAGCTGGTAAACAAATGAAAATCAGTGCCAGGTTATTAGCAGCCAGGAAAGTGCACCTTCAAACCACAATAAGACACTGTTATACTGGCTCCAAGTGCACAAATGTTAAAGTGTGTGAAAACCCCCGTGTTCATGACAGTGTGGGGCAACAGTTGCTGACATGTAAACTGGTACCAGTGCTGCAGAGAATACGAGCATCATCTACTGAACTGAGGGTAGCTTACACCACGCCAACAATTCCCTCCTCCACTTCTGACCCAGAGCAGCATCAACCCACAGGGCAGCCCATGGCCACCGTGTCAGGTGACCACATGAAGGGTGTCTGTAAGGATGTGAGCTGTAAGGGACAGATGATGGGTGATAAAAGTAAAACACGCACTTGAATCAGAAGTCTTACTACAAGAAAAGGAATGTAAATTATCTGTTTTTGTGTTCTGAGATCAATTTCAATGGAGGTGAAAGTGGGGAGTTTCTCCCACACCACCAAGTAATT